AAGTGATATACTTATCAATTTCATATCTAAAGAAGGTAAAACCAACGGGGAGGTTTTTTATTGGTTATCTATTCATGACGATAATCCAAAGTATATTTGTCTACTTGGATTATTTTATAGTTGGGAAATTGGCACCAAAAATGAAAACGTCGATGTATTTAATCTATTTCTTAAGGCAGCAAATTCAAACGATATTATTGCTCAATATTTTGTTGGACGATGTTATGAAACTGGTTGGAACATCAAAAAGAATATGAAGCAAGCGATTGAATGGTATACCAAGGCGAGCAAAGCTGGATGTGCAATCGCGGAATGTATGCTTGGTGAATATTGTTATAAACTTAATAAATATGAACAAGCATTTAATTTGCTCAAAAGTGCGGCTGATAAAGGAAATGCACTAGCAATGAATACATTAGGAATATGTTACCAAAAAGGCTATGGAACGAATGTTGATAGAATAGAAGGATTTAAGTCATTTGAAAAAGCGGCTGAAATGGGTTTATCTGCTTCACAGTATGAGCTTGGTGATTGTTACGAGTACGGTAATGGGACAAAAATAAATTTGGAGAAGTCATTATATTGGTATCAAAAGGCTTTAGAAAAAAATCCTAACTACTGGAATCATGTAAAACGTGTCGAGAATAGAATTAAACAATTAAATAACCATCACTAATTACAATAAATTAGATAACTTTATGTATAGTTAGATTTCTAACTATTTAATTTACGCAATTTACTCGATTTTCTTCAATAAATATTAATGTTTTATATTTTTCAATAAAATCAACAGTTTTATGAACATAATTATGTACACGTACACGTACAGTACATTATTTATTGTCCAGAGTGTAGCGATGGACCCTTAGTTTCTATGCAAAGTGATATAAAAGTTACGTTTTTGATGCATCATAGTTACTTTTTTTGATGCATCTACATAAACAACTCAGAAGTCACATGGGCGGACAGACAAAAAGTTGGTAAATGAAATCCAAATTAGTAATTTGTGTAATAATATGATCACCATATGATTCGCTCTGGACCCATAATGCTATGCAATTTCCTAGTTATAATATATTTCTATTAGTTGAAAGTGGCCGATTCTGATCAGATTTCCAGATTGATGCATTAGGTATAGTACAAATTTTAGAAATTCTGGATCATTATTACAACAACTGAAACTTAAATCTGAAATTCAGGAAGAATCTTTATTATTGGAAGCACTTAAGTTCTTCTGTCCAAATATTACATATCTCAATATTATGAATATTCGGTTTTCCTCACAACTCCTAGAGCTTATTGATAATTTACAAAAACTTCAATTTCTAACGTTATGGTGCTATATTAGTGACATATCAGAAGAAGAGCTGAAAATATAAGTTATACAGTTTGCAGAAATTTTGCCATTAACATTACAATATTTTGATTTAGGAAATACATAGCTAGAATCAAATATAGATATTTTTTTTAATCATTGCAACACACCTTTAGAAAATTGTTAATTAGGGCCATATAAAATTAGTTTTTTGGTTCTCATAACATAAAATTTTAAAAATGACCCGGCAACCCGGCTTTTAATTTTA